CATTTAGAGGTGGCATCACCGTATGCTTGTTCTATGATAGTAGGATTTTAACTAAGATCAATTATCCTTAAATCACTATCATGTCATTGCAGTATTTAATGTGTCAATCCAAATGGGTGTGATGCTAGCAATCAAGATGCAATCAGATTTCACAGAGTCAAGCCGAGCAATAACAGGTTTTGGTGTTTCTAACAGTCCTAGGTGATCATACAAAAACAGAAATTCTAACAGAAACAGGCAATATACTCGATCACACAGCTTGATGCCAAGCACTGGATGTGGTCGAGTATCAGGTCGAGTACCAAACAGAAACTGCAACAAATGTACTCTACCACACAGTCCATTTCCAAACCACTGTGTGTGGTCGAGTACTTTAAAAGAAATAAGCAGAAATGCAAAAGTAAAGCAATAGGCAACAAGATCAAGCAATCAATAGCGATGTGAACAAGGAAATCAATTGGAAGAGAAATTCCCGAGGATGGGGTAATCGAGTGGTGAAGTCTCCTTAATCTAACAGGTGGTTAACATGCTCAACAAACTATCCCTAGACAACAAGTTCAATAACTAATTCAAAGTGCTACCGCAACAGTGATCCTCAAGCAAAGCTAGTCCAGACTCAATCACCATTGACGAGAGCTAATCTAACAGGCATTACGAATCAACAAGTTAAAGTCAAAACGCTCTCTATAACCAATACCTTGGTACAGAGCCACGAATCTCTGGAATTAGTGGTTCAGAATTTCATCGAACACCTTTTGGGTGCGGAAATGTCTGGGCTCAGATTCCAGTTGATCAGAAAGCAATCAGCATTAAGAACAACTAATCCAGAAGGGAACTACCAATCAAACTCAACCACCTAGCAGATTAAGGATTCTAAACCACATTAACCCATCCTCAAGAACCCTAATCACTACTCAGAATTCATCACCAAGAACACAAACCCAGAAATGCACAAAAACTTCATATTAGCAAGACCTTAACAAGATGAACAACTTTGTAGAAGAAATCAAAAGCAAATACTCAATAGATTAAGAGAAATCTGGATTACAAAGATGAAGAATACACTAATTGTTCTGCAGAATAAAACTTAGTTCAGAAAATTAAGAGAAACAACCTATTTATAGTAAATCCTAGGAAACCCTAAATCACAAAACGACAAAGTATTAAGGCGGTTTACAGAGACACTCGGCTTCGTGAAATCGAGTAGAGAGGTCGAGTAAAGCTGGCGCCTTTGCGGTTTCTTGCTCTGGTCATGATGTAATCGAGCACTTGGGTCGAGTTATGTGGTCGAGTTCTGCTTCATCCTCTTCTCTGCCTTATGCTCAATGTCTGGTTGAGTGCGGATCTGAGAAGACTCTGAAGCTTGTGATCAAGTGGCTGCTGGGAGTGGAGATCGAGCATCTGGTCGAGTGGCTGAAGAAGAGGGTGCTCGACCACGAGGTCGTGGAGTCAGTCGAGTGAAGCATTGGCTGATGGCTCGAGTGGTGGATTGAGGTGGTGATCGAGTGGTCAGTCGAGTTGTTCTGTTGAAGTTGTGGTCGAGTGGTGATCTGAAGAGTCTGCTGGTGATGCTCGACCGCGCAATCCACTTGGTGATGAGAAGATTGGTCGAGTGATCTGTGAGAGGCTGGCTGTGAGAGTGTCGCTGTATGTCGAGTGATACTGTTGGTTTTGCTCTGCTTCTCCCAATCTGCTCGCCAACAGCTCCAAATCACCTGAAAACACTCAAATATGCAACATGCATGCAAATCTATCCTAAACATGTAAAGTGATGACAAGTGATGAGAAATGGTATGAAACAATAACAAAATGATGATAAAGTGATGCTAAATGGATGCTTAAAACATGTGAAATATAGACATATCAACTCCCCCAAACTTATTCTTTGCTTGCCCTCAAGCAAACAATTAAGAACAAGCTGGAGAGAGGTTTTAAAAGCGGGGACTCAGAACCAAAGCATGCAGACAAAACAAATGAACTCAATGTCCAAGTTAGTAGTTGTGGAATGCATAAAGACCAAACTCTACTTAAAAACCTTAGCCATATTCATCACAAGAAACCTAACATTTGTTCCAATCACACACACCTTCAGATCATCAATTCCCTTTAACATTGTAAGCTCAAACCATGAATCAAGCAAACATTGTTGAAGAACTCATTTGGTTTAAATGACAAGGCTGAGAAACAAAGATGGTTCCTCTGTAAATGGTTTCAGACTTTTTCACAGTAACATGGAACTCTCATGAATGGACAGGCTTTAGTAGAATGCTAAAGATTAGAACCAACCTACGCATACAAAAACAGACCCCATCTACCCAAATAACCATAAGCATATCAAACTCCATAGATGGTCCTATCTCTAAACCCCAAAAAAAAAATGATCCTAATTCTACCCTTTGCACTCAAGGCATGTTTCAATAAACTTTTGGATCAACCCATTCTTTCTTTTTGGTTTTGTTCTAAGGAGAGGTTTTCTTTTAGAGCTTCTAGCGTATTTGGACTTTCTTTAGCAACTAAGGCTCTTCTTTTCATCTCATGACTTAAGACATTTCTAGGCTTTTGCCTTTCTTTTTTTTCTTTGCACATAGCCTAACTTCTTTTATTTTCAAGCTTCCCAAATCCTTTACTAGACTAACATGATATTCTTTTCTGTTTCACTTCCATCTCCTAAGAACAATAACACTTGTCTTTCTTTCCAAACACATTCCCAAACCCATTCCCAAACCCAAAGTAAAACTCCCACCTAGTCCTATCTAGCCCAAAAAGCGTGGACTATATGGGATACTATTCTTGTCGGTTCATACCTAACACTTTCTACCAAGCTCAATCCGGAAATAGGCCTTACACACACACAAATTTATTCAGGGCTTGAAAGAAAGGTTAGGTTCAGGGTGGGGGAAACTGTTCCAATGATGGGAATCAGCTACTTGGATTAGCAAGAGTGGTAGAAAGTGAAAGAAAATCTAAGTATGTGTATTGGTAGCCACAAGTTCAACAACAATGCAAAGACATGATAATTATAAGTCAAGTTCAGGTTCTAATAGATAGGGAAAAAAATCACATCAAGCATGCTTCAATTAAAACAAGAGAGTCAAGTTGTGAATTCCAAATATGGTGCTGTCTTAATTCAAGTTCTATCACAAGCATTAAACAACTAACAACGAGGGCATTGAATTCATTCAGTAAGTGAGCATGCTTACAAGGTTATTTCATCATCATAATCCCCAATGCAAATGCATGATGCAACAATCCTAAGTGAAAGCATACTAAAACAATCCTAAAATGACAATGCAAACTACATGAACACTCTGTTTTTGTGAAATCATTTTCAGAATTTTTTCAAATTTTATCAGACCTATCAGCCAAGATCAAGGAGATATTGCAGTATTTATACTTGTTGAAACCCAACCTCTTAGCTACTGAGAGTGGCATGAGACTTATTGATGCTCCTAGGTCCCAAAGACATTTATTGAAAGTTAATGAACCTATGGAGCATGGTAGAGTAAATGAACCAGGGTCTCCTTGCTTTTCTGGGACAACCTTCTTCTGTATGATGGCACTGCACTCATGGCTCAGAACTGTTGTTCTCTGAACCTCTTGAATTCTCTCCCTGATCAAGTCTTTCAAGAACTTTTGGGAGTCCGGGATAAGCGCGAGAGCATCAACAAGAGGTATCCTGGCTTCAACTTCTTTGATGTTCTCTGCAAACATAGCTCTGTACTTATCTGCCAACGCTTTCTTTTGTCGACCAGGAAATGGAAGTGGGGGCTTGTAAGGAGGAGGAACAAAAACCTTCTCCTTGTTCTTAGCAGCAACTGGTTTTTCAGCAGGTGGAGCCGCTACTCGAGTTGTTGATCGAGTATGTCCATCGAGTATGGGGTCGAGTACTTCAGCTGGTTTGTCAACTTGATCTTCATTGAGACTGAAATCCTCCCCATCTTGGTCTGCACTGTCCTCAGTGACTAGCTTGGGTCCCTCTCTGGTGGATAACTCTCTTCCACTCCTTAGGGTGATAGCATGAACATTCACTACAAGAAAACAGCTGATTGCCGACTATGCATAACGACTATAGAAGTAGTCGCTTAATTTTGTGACTGTATAGCCACTATTTGGCGACTATTATGCGACTATTTGTGTTTAGTCGTTAATGAGTCGCCATTTAGCGACTATATAACCGAGTCGCTATATCAATCGCCTATTAGTCGGAAATCAGTAGCTATTTAAGTAACCTAAATCTATATACATAGATACCAAATTAAGATTTTGAAACTTATATCCTAACCCTAAATATAGACCCTAACCCTTAAATAAACCCCAATAACTAAATCAAACACTAGTTATAATTTTTTAAAACTTAATATCCCTATAATTAAAACTTATAATATATAACATTATCTATATATACCTCCAAAAGTTAAATCACATGAACTACAAACATGAAAATTTTAATTCTGAATCTTAGAAGTTAATTAAGAAAGCATAAAAACTAATAATTAACCATTATATGTTTTTTACAAATAAAAACCATTTACTTATAAATTAAAGTTTCTAAACCATCAATACAATTATTATAAACTATAAAAATTAAACTTTATACTCTTAAAAATTAAAATTAAAATTAAAATTAAAATAGCGACTATTTGGCGACAAATTAGCGACTATAGTGAAAATTTTGGGTTTAATAAAAACCGCGAAACCAAACCCAAATTTTAAGCCCAATTCGGCATGCCCACTCGTTTTCCCTCTGAAGAAAACGCACAAAGGGAATCGAGAAGCACAGAAACCCTAATTTCATTCTCACTCTCTTCTCCTTCTTCCCACTGATCCCCTTTTCCAAACCCTAATCGAATCCTCGATTCTTCATCTCCTTCGATTCCCTTCGTCAATCTCTTCCTCAATCTCTTCCTTAGTCTCAAATCGAATCTCTAATCAAATTCCTAAACGAAACCCTAATTTCGTTCTTCAAATCGAATCTCTTCGTCAATCTCTTCCTCAAATCTCTTGCTCATTCTCAAATCGATCTAGCCATGCCTGTAGCTAACAACAAACGTCGAGGCCGCAAGAGATTCTCCATTCCAAATGTGTCTCAGAGGCCAGTCGGTTCCAAACCCAACACATCGAAAAGAAAAAACCCTTTACCTCCTCAATACGAGTTCACGCCGGCGCCGGAGGAGCAGATTCCTCAGCCTGAGTCGCCCCTAGAGCAAGTCCAGCCAGTCCGCGTTTCCCCTCAACTGTCTTCGTCAAGAGCTTCTCATTTTCGGGACTATCCACCGCCACAAAGGCTTTTCCAGAGCTCGGTGAATCAACCACGTGAAGACCATGGGTTGTCTGAACAAGAAGTCCAGCAGGAACAGCCTCGACAGCAACCTTCTCGGGATCCTAGACAACAACCTTCTCGACAACAGGAACCTCGACAACAACCTTCTCGGGATCCTAGACAGCAACCTCCTGAACAAGTGGATCCTCCAGGATCTCCACTTCATCACTCTCAGGGTCAGTCTCATCCATCATCTCAAGGGAATAATTTCGAGGATACTTTAGAACCAATGTCGCCGGAGCTACAGGAGGACACGGTGAGGGATCTAAATGCCTTGCTTCTGGTGCCAAACCGCGAGAAGTTTACCACCGTCCTCTCTCCAACGCCGCTGCCAAACACAACTTGGTATATGTCTCTTGATCCATTGATGTGTGAGTGTGAGTGTTATAAGATATGTTTGATGTCTCTTAGGTATCTTAGTTTGATGTTTTAGGTTGATAGTATTGATGTGTTAGTGTATTCACACATGATTCTTGTCTTTGATGGTTAGTAGTTGGTCTCTCGTTTGACACATGCATCTGGTCTCTTTATTTTTAAACTTCTTGTAGTAATTGCTGAGTCTGAGTTAGATTTATAATCTTAGGTTGATACTTGATTTGATACTTGTTTGATACTTGATTTTACTTGTTTCATACTAGTAATGACTTGTTTGATACTTGTTATGAATTGTTTGACTTGTTTGATATTTGTTTTGACTTCTTTACTTGTTTTGATTTGTTTGATACTATTAACTTCTTCACTTGTTTACAAATGCTGCAGGTTCAATCTACTTGTTTCATACTAGTAATGACTTGTTTGATACTTGTTATGAATTGTTTTGACTTGTTTGATATTTGTTTTGACTTCTTTACTTGTTTTGATTTGTTTGATACTATTAACTTCTTCACTTGTTTACAAATGCTGCAGGTTTGACCGCGATGAAAAATCAAGACTTGTTAGGAAGATTACTAAAATCTTTACTAACAAATTTGATGGTCCTTATTATAGTTGGACTTGTGTGCCTCGTAAGAGACAAGAAAGATACTTCCTCGAGTTTGCGGTAAAGTCTTATGTCCTATAGCCTTCAAATCTGGTTGCATTTTTGTTCTTCCACTAACTCTGGTCTTGATGTTTTTGTGTTGTAGAAAACCCACACCTGGGATCCCTTGATAACAGGGACAGTTCAATGGTGGTTCGAGGAAATCTGTGGACGCCGGATGAAGGACATGGTAAGCAACGCGAGGACGAGTCGTGAAAAACCCGACTGGATCTATGAAGATATCTGGAAAATAATGGTTGCGTATTGGGATACTGAAGAAGCACAGAAGAGGAGTCAGACTTATTCAAAGTGTCGTATGTCTGACCGTAATGGTCTCGGTCCTCACATCCACTTGTCAGGGCCAAAGTCATATCAGCAAATCCAATACGAATTGGTTAGTATATCTGTCTTTTTCTATCACTCTTTTGTTCTATGATTTTGTGCTAATCATTACATATTTTGAAACATCGCAGGAAGAACTATTGGGAAGACCAGTGAGTCTTGGTGAGGTCTTCATTAAGACTCATACAAGGGCTGATGGTTCTTTTGTGGATGGAAAGGCAGAGAAAATAGCTAAGGTTTATGAGAAGAATGTGCAACAGAAGTTGTCTGAGCTGGAGGTAGAGACTGCATCTGATTCGGACGGCGCTTCACGACCTCGAGAGCTAACAACAGATGAATATACAGCCATATTTCTTCAGGTTAAGTACAATTTATCACAATCCACATATATTGTTTTTTGACTTTTATAGAGTTCTAATCTACATTCTTTTTCTCTGTCATTTCACAGTCCACTGAGAAGGATTCAAGAGGAACTCTCTATGGAGTTGGCAGCCTCAAGGGAATTCTTAAAAATGGCAAGCGCAAGCAACCCGGAGACTCTGCATCTTTTGTGGCAATCCAAGAGCAACTGAAGGAAGCTCAAAAAAAAATCGAAGAGCAGGCTGCTGAAAATACAAGGCGTGAAAAAGAGCAAAAGGAGAAGCTATAGCACTTGTCCTTGGTGGAGAAGTACCTCCGACAAACTGATCCGGCCTTTTTGGACTTCATGAAGACTCATTCGGCTGCAGAAACCACAGAGCCTCTCTCAACCGGTCTTCCCCCAACTTCTTGAACTCCTATCTATCAGCTTCTTGTTTAGGTTCCTTTTTAATCTTTCCCCAACTACATAAACTAAGTTCTTCTCTCAGTTGTTTTAAAGACTTGTTTTTGTTTCGTATGACTCAACTTTGTTTCTTTTAAATGAAGTGAATCTATGTTTTTAGCTTATTTACTTTTCAATTTAGTTTTTCAATTTAGCATTTTAGGTCAATGCAAAATAGAAAATCGAACAAATTTATGCCATTTTTCTTCTAAATACAGTCGCCAAACAGTCGCCAAACAGTCGTAAATCAGTCGGAAAATAGTCACCATAATCTTTACGACTACACTATAATATATGCAGATTAGTCGTAACATAGTCGTAACATAGTCGTTAAATTTAACGACTATGTTACGACTACTGTTACGACTGCACCCTATAGTCGTAACTTAGTCGGTAAATAACGACTAAAATTACGACTATAACATTTAGCGACTCTCGATTTACGACTACCGCTTATAGTCGTAACGTAGTCGTAACTTGTCTTTTAACGACTACATTACGACTAATATTGCAGTCGTAAATCAGCTGTTTTCTTGTAGTGATTAGCATACTCCTTTGGATTCTGAATTGCTTTCCCGAGGAGTTGCCCTGGAGGTTTCGGAGCAGAAGTGGATGCAGATTGTCCCTCTAAGTATTGGACCTTGGAGCTCAATGCTTCCACCTTTACATTCAGGTCATTGTAGCTACAGTCCAGCTTATTGTGTAATTTAGATATCTTCTTAGCGATCTCCATTGAGCCAGATGCTTGTCCTTGGAGAAGCTGTTGTAGCATTTGCTTCATGTCAGAGTCAGGAGAAGCAGAACTTTGATGCTGCTGAGGTACAAACCCATGTGGTGGTTACTGCTGGTAGTTCCCCTGAAATTGTTGCTTGGGAGCAAAACCTTGGTTGTAAGAAACAAAAGGTTTGTACTGGCTCTGCTGTTGTTGTGGAGGATACACTTGATCCTGTGGATTAGCAACGTTGGTGATGCGGTAAGAAAGGTTGGGGTTGTTAGTCTTGAAGTTGTTGTACCCTTTGTAGCCACCCTGATTGTTGACGTAGCTGACCTCTTCTAACTGGTTCCCCTCCCCATCTTGGACTTGATATTGTTCGTCATCAACTAGAAAGTGCAGATGCTTCTGCTGGCCAAGGAGAATCTTATCCAATTTCTCATTAAGAGCCTTCATCCCTTTCTTGTGTTTATCATCCGAGTCAACTGTTCCTCTGTTGGTCCTGTCACAGTCCTCGTTGTAATTACCATCTGACTGAGCTAAGTTCTCAACCAATTCCCAGCCTTCAGCAACATCCTTGTTTTGGAAATTTCCAGTGCTCGCGGTATCTAGAAGCATTCTGATCCGTGGAAGAGCACCTCTGTAGAGTGTGCTGAGCAGTGAGGCTTTACTGAAACCATGATGAGGACATTGGTTGGTGTAACTTTTGAAGCGCTCCCAGGCCTCACATAAGCTTTCTCCATTCTTTTGGGCAAAACCAGAGATCTCATTCCTGAGCCGTGCAGTCCTTGCGTTGGAGAAGAATTTTGTAAGAAAGGCCTTCTTACAGTCATCCCAGGATGTGATGGATCCAGGTGGAAGATTCTTTTCCCAGATGTGTGCTTTGTCACCCAAGGAGAATGGGAACTGTTGGGGTCGGATTCCATCCTTTGGCGCCGAGCCAGACTTAGAGCACCTCGGGAGCGTTTCAGAGATCACCTCGGGGCATCACATCATCCGCCACGGGTTATCCATCTAATCAGGTTAGGGTACCTGTAGCATCCCTTCCCGGACGTCTCGGCGTCCGTCGACCATTGACGCTCGTTCGTGCCTCTTCCCGGCCGAACCTCCATATTTTTCGCGATTTAACATAGAATTGCCTTTACGAGGCTTAATTCTATAATCGCTTTCTTAGTACCCAGCGGAAGTCTTTCTACCCTTGGTTTAATTCCAACCAACCCTTGTACCGGTTTGAACATCTTTGTCCCTTAGACTTTAGATCGATCATTAACTCGGCCAAGTCATGCAATTGGTTCGCTAACCATTCTAAGTCTAACGATTGCATATTCTTTGTATCCCTAATCCAACGGCCAATTCCCAAACGTCTATCTTAACTAATAAGTTAGATGCGTTTACATACCTTGGCCTACATGCGGATTCGATTCTTCTTCGATCCGTCTATTGATCCTTCTCTTAGCCCTCTCGTCGCCTTATTCCATTCGTACAACGATTCTTAACCAATCGTGTATTGATGGACCAATCTCTATCGTTACTTAGCCATACAACCAACCAACCCCACTGGTCTAAGTCCCACGATAGAGATTGGGGATCGTACGTTTCTCTTGGTTCACGGTGGCCGAATCAAGCTCTTGGCTCATTGGTCCATCCGTCCCCCAAACGAACGCCCCTTCGGTTTCATGGTGAACGATCAAGCCCTCGGCTTATCGAACCATCCATGTTTCCGATCCGGTCGTTTATCACTACGACCGCCCACGGTTTACTAACCGTTTACCCGTCCGATCCATGGTGGTCGGTAAAGCCTTCGGCTTATCGATTCATCCATGTGATCCGAACGATACCATTATCACACCCAAGGGTCCGTGGATTCATCCATCGGATTATCGTAGGCTAGCCCATGAAATCATTCGTCCGTCGGCCATTGGTTTGCTCGCGGGTCCAACATCCGTTTTGTCCATCGGTTTTCACCGTAGACTTTCCCGTTGGTTATTCGCCGAGTCACCATTGGTCTTACCGATTTCCGATCGGTTTCACCAAGGCTGCGACGTTTGATTCATAGAGCGGCCGCGATATTTGATCCTTACATGGAGAACCACGTGCCTTACCCATTCTCGGTGCTTTCTCCCATTCTCGGTGAGATTGCATCTATGGGCGACCCTTGGGTGTGTTCGGTTGCACTTATCCTCGTGCTTCCTCGAACACCTTTCCCTTATATACCTTCCCTCAACGATCTGATTTGTCGGACGATCCATCGATCCCATAATCGAGCTATCGATCCGAACCATCAATCGAATCCCGACGATCGATCCGCCTATCCCGGTCGGTCAATCCGCCGATCAGACTGTACCATCCATCTGATCCGTCTCCTTGTCAGATCCGATCCATCTGTCCGACGGTCAGTCTCTCCGATCCGATCCGTCCGACGACCGGTCTGTCCGATCTGATCCGTCCGACGATCGGTCTAACCGATCCGATCCGTCCGACGATCTGTCTGTCCGATCCGATCCGTCTCTAAGACGATCGGTCCATCCCATCCATCCCTTAATACATTCTATCGAACCGTTGGATCGGGAGGTAGCATGCGCATCAGTTCGGTCGAGGCTCCGAGAATCCATTCCGATTCCGGAGATACTCGCCGAGCCGCACCCCCTTTCCGACCAACACTTCGTAGAGTGTTTTGGGACCCCTTTTGGGTTGTGATGGTGATTCTGAAGTGTGTGCGAATGATTCCAATGCCCTTGGACGTCCTCCCTTATATAGGGGCCGAATGGGTGTGTTTCCGAAACATCACATCCGTTCGTTGCACCCTTCCGAAAGGTTGCGTCTTTCCGATCGTAACCGTTCGGCCTTATCCACCCTTTGGCCAACGGTAACCGTTCGTAGGTAACCGCTCGACCTTACACCTCTTCATCCCGAGCTACCACAGTCCACCAGCTCGAGTGTCAGCTGACCGGACCACCCAGCTGGGTCAGTACTCGATCAGTTCACCGAGCTCGGTTGAGCTGTCGGTCAGCTCACCTAGCTGAGCTAGCTAGTCCTCCAGCTGGTTTAGCTCACCTAGCTGAGCTAGCTAGTTCATCCAGCTCGTTCAGCTCACCTAGCTGGTTTAGCTCGAACGTTCTTCCACGTTCTTTTCGGCTAAGTCTTTCGGTCCGTTTTCTCGGCCTTGACTACGCCATTCCCAATCCTTCCATGATCATTTCTCCACGATCATTAGATTATCCCGATGTCGTCTAAGTCATCTACCCTTTTCATGACTTAAACGTTTCATTCCTTCCTTGGGTTAACTTATTCATTGGTCTTTCTCGACCATGATCTAGTTTTCCCTAAAACAAACCGGCCCCCTTTAGGATCGCGGGACGCGGGTGTTACAGTACCCGAGCCCATCGCCTCGGGGGTACCCGAACAAGTCATCTCGGGATACCCGAGCCCAGTCACCTCGGGATACCCGAGCCCATCACCTCGGGGGTACCCGAACCAATCATCTCAGGTACCCGAACCCAGTCACCTCGGGGTACCCGAGCCTAGTCGTCCTGGGGTACCCGAGCCGATTCCCTCGGTGCCTCGGCTCAGGTTGTGTATCACGTCGTCATCCTGCCCCGAGCCAAACACACCAATCGTCAACAGGCAGCCTCCAAGCTACCCGAGGCGAAGTCATCAGTCACCCCGAAGTGAAGATCACAATCACCCGAGGAGTAAGTCTTCTTCATCACCCGAAGCAAAGACTTAGTGAATAAATACCTTTAAAGTATCTTAACAGCATTTCCGGAAAAGAAGGACCATTTCCGACATACTCGGAAATGATAAAGGAGAATCTTCGGAGATCGACTCAAATCAGGAAATCTTCCAAAGAACTCCGAAGAATAAGGAAATTATCCTAATCCGCGATATTCTAAGCCGATCTCAAGATAAATGGAAATCTTCCGAGAATATCGCTGGAGAGGCGGCCTACCATCCCTATATAAAGAGACTCAAGGCTCTCACTTTAGGGGAAGCAACATCGCTCTAGAATTTACACTAAACAAAGCTCCTACAGCACAAACACCTTTTTACTTTACGATCAAACTCTTGTACGATCAAAACTATTCTTTTCATCAATAAGATCAAGAACACCATCTTTGGTTACAATTGTTTCTGTTGTTCTTTGAGAATTCATGCTTATCGTATCCCTAAATTAAAACCCTAGACAAATCTCGATTGTGTTAGTTTTGACTTCCACAGTTTGGCGCCGTCTGTGGGGAGTACTTTAGAATTCTCTTACTCAAGAACGCAGAACTCAACTACCGAAGAAGACGATGAACGAGGACGGTCGTCAGATACCACCACCAGCCGGAGGAGGCAACCCTAACCCTCCGAACCCTCAAGCCGATCCAGCAATCTCAGCGACCCTAGCCGAACTGAAGGATAT